TAAAAGTACATTTGATTTTCCACATATGGAGTCTCATGGTCTTTCTTTCCTAATTATTAAATGGAGAGGTGCTGACACCTATGATCTATGATATCTGCAGAAATATGTATAGGATTTGCATTTTATGTTTAAAGATGTAAGATTATGTTATAGCAATTAGAAATAACCGGATTTTGCTTGGGATTACTTCTTAAATTTTAAAATACAACAAATTTTATCAGCCATTAAACTATTTATTTCTCTGGCATTCACTTTTAAAATTTTGCAATTATTATATCAATGATCTTCATTTCAATTAGGTAAGAACATACAGTAATCACATAATTCAATACAGCTCACATATTATTGTTCTAAAATCCAATTGTATCACAATACACATATGATCAAATATATAGCAGAATTTATATTTTTTTCTAGTCAAAAAAGAAAAACATCAATTTAATTTACACTGCATTGTGCTTGTGGCAAAAAATAGTTGATATGAAATGGCTTACTTATTGATTTTTCTTCTTTTTTAAATTCTCCAAGGAACATTTGTCTGATTCAGATTGTCTGTTTAAAATGGATGCTGTTTAACCCAAATATCAAAATATAAAAGAACTAGGAAGAGATTCTGAGAGATGAGAATGTACACAGGGGTCCCCAACTCCCGGGTTGTGGACCAGTACCAGCCATGGCCTCTTAGGAATGAGGCCATATAAGTGGCAGGTGAATGAGCAAAGTTTCATTTATGCATGCACATGATCTACCTAGGTTGCGTGTGAAACTTCCCACCCTATCTGTGGAAAAATTGTCTTCCATGAATCCGGTCCCTGGTGCCAGAAAGGTTGGGGACCATCACTCTAAAGGACAGGAAGCCCAGAATACTGATGAAAGACTGTATAAAATAAACTTAATGCCAAAGGAACCTAGGGTTAGGATAGAATTAGCAATAGCACTTAGATTTATATACCACTTCATAATGCTTTACAGCGCTCTCTAAGCGGTTTTACAGAGTCAGCATATTGCCCCCAACAATCTGGCTCCTCATTTTACCAACTTTGGAAGGATGGAAGGCTGAGTCAACCTTCAGACGATCAGGGTCAAACTCCTGGCAGTGGGCAGAATTAGCCTGCAATATTGCATTCAAACCACTGCACCACCAATTAAATTTTCTAGTCATATAGGGGAACCGAGGTGGCGCAGTGGTTAAATGCAGCACTGCAGGCTACTTCAGCTGACTGCAGTTCTGCAGTTCGGCTGTTCAAATCTCACCGGCTCAGGGTTGACTCAGCCTTCCATCCTTCCGAGGTAGGTAAAATGAGGACCCGGATTGTTGTTGGGGGCAATATGCTGACTCTGTAAACCGCTTAGAGAGGGCTGAAAGCCCTATGAAGCGGTATATAAGTCTAACTGCTATTGCTACTGCTATGTGAGGAAGAAATGGAAGCAAAAAAGTGTTGATCAACCAGAGAGCTATGAAGAAATGTTACACTGTAAGAATGTATCATGCTCTAAAACAGTGTTTTTTATATTTGGTAACTTTAAGATGTGAGGACTTCAAATGCTGGCTAGAGAATTCTGGGAGTTGAAGTCCACACATCTTACAGTTGCTAAGGCTGAAAATCACTTCTCCTTAAAAGGCTCAAGAAACTGGGCAAATAAAATAGGTAGCAATATGCCACATGCCAAGGGAGCACTGGGTAATAGCATAGCATAGCATTTAGATTTATATACCGCTTCACAGTGCTTTATAGCCCTCTCTAAGCATATTCCCCCAACAATCTGGGTCCTCATTTTACCCACCTCGGAAGGATGGAAGGCTGAGTCAACCTTGAGCCTAGTAATGAAGACTTGTGCAGAATAGATAAATTCTAGAGCAGGGGTGTCAAACTGGCGGCCCATGGGCCGGATGCATCACACGCAGGCCACACCCACCCTAGCTCTGTGAAGGGAAAAAAGTTACAAAACATCACGTGATGGCAACATGACGCCGTGAGTTTGACACCCGTGGTCTAGATAATATAAATAACTGTCTTAAGCCAAGTATGACCATTAATTAGTCCACTAGTGTGGATTTTAACTAATATATACCTGTATTAAATTTCTCTACAATTCTAACTTCATCACAGAAGTTAGTGCATTCAAAGTTGTGATTTTGTTTTAATACCCATCAAATGCTAGTTTAAATGAGCCAACAGAGTAATGATGTCTAGGATTAACCCTACTACAAATGTATCATTTTACCACAGCTAAGCTCAAAGGCTAGGAGGAAGTCATATCATTCATCCTATAACTGAGGCATTGAAAAACATCATTTCTGTTACATGCTGAATGTAGGTCTCATAAATTTGTGTGGCTTTTAGCTGAAATAAACAGTGCTACTACAAACCTATAATTTCAGGCCAATATTTATATAGTATACGGATAAAGCTTCACTTCTATTATAGCTCTGGCTTTATCTAGTTTAGTTTTCTCTCCCTTAATAACAATGTAAGTTTATTTCAAACCACAAATATAATAAAAACAAAGGTATCTGAAATAAGAAACAAAATGTAGGTTAGGAAATGTTTAAACTACTTCCATATCCTCCATTCCCTTAACATGTACACAAAGACAGATATGTTTATTGGTAATACTATTGCTAATTATCTCAATCTTGGTTTCTCTAATCTTGACATTATTTACTATATCTTTCTTTAAAATATTTTAAAAACTCTTCTCTTTTTAATGAGAGCAAATTATTATCAAAATCCATACCTTTACAAAAAGCTATCTGCACATTTTCACTCCATTTTCCAGTATGTAAACACCTCAGGTCTTTTGTTACACCAGACAAAAGGAATCCATTTGGACAACTGAGCCTGCACTTAGTTCCATATTTTGATTGTTCAAGCCCACAAATATAAGGGTGAACAATAACACCTTTTGGTTTTAGGAATGCAGGACAGTGCAACTCTAGAAAAAAGAAGTACATTACTGTCAACACACACAAATGGAAAACACATTTCGTACAGTTTACAAATGCAAATAGGTAAAGGTTTCCCCTATTTAGTTATCTCTGATTCTAGGGCAGGAGTGTCAAACTTACGTCTTCACGTGACATATCATTCACTAAACCAGGCAGGGCCGTAGCCAGCATGTGACACAGCTGTCCTGTAAGTTGTGAGTTTGACACCCCTGCTCTAGAGGGTGGTGCTCATCTCAGTTCAGCATTGTTTGTGGCCAACAAGACTATATGCTAAGGTGCACAGAACCTTCCCACCAAAGTGGTACCTATTTATCTACTTGCATTTGCATGTTTTCTAACTGCTAGGTGGACAAGACTGGGGCAAATAATGGGAGCTCACCCAGTGCTCGGGTCTCAAGCCCAAGCTGTCAGCTTTCCAGTTGACAAGATAACATCAACATTGTGTCCCCTTACAAATGCAAATATTTACATCAAAACTGGAGTAAATGTTGCATATGAAGTATAAGAGAAAATCAATATAACCAGTTGTTCTAACTTGTCTTAATTTTTATGTTTTTATAACATACAATAAACAGCAATTATTTTTGGAAAGTTCCTGTCTGGGAAAAAACCAGAAATTATTCTTCTGACTTGTACAATATAACAAGCATCCACAGTTTTCTTATACCAACATGTACCCTATGTAATACTTTTTTAAAAAGTGATTGTGGAAGGACATAAAGGAAGTCTATTATTATTTAGGTAAATTATAATTAGGTAAATTACTTAGAGACAGCAACCAAACAAACTTTGTTACAAAATAAAGGGAACTTATAACATACATTGTGCATTTGAAACATACCAACACATTTTGGTTCCTTCCCATCCCACTGAGAGTTGCCTTGACAGGTAAGTTTGGTATGGCCTTCCAGTTCGTAGCCTTCGTTGCAAGTGAATAAGCACACAGTCTTATAAGAGATCTCACTTAATGAGCAATTAATATGGCCGTTTTCAGGAGTTGAGAGTTTGAGGCATGTGCGAACTGCAGAGTTTAAAATAAATGTGTAAGCATTTTTAGCAAGAGTAAGTAACAGATACTAAGAGTAAGCTGAATAAGATATACATATCGTGTCCATCTTTTTGCAAAATACACACACACTTCAATTAAACTATATGCACCAGATTTAAACTGAAGATTAGAATATTATATCTTCAACTCCAATCTTGGGAGATATTCACAGGATAACAACTGCAATAGAGAACTATACCTATATATATATTATCCTGGGAATATCAATTATTAGGCAGGACAAGTATCTTATACCTTGGAGTATTATTTTCACAACTAAGATCCTAGAATTTGGACAGTGAAAACAAATCTTCACCTTTTTCCCCATTACTTTTTCTCTTTAACTATCTTCATCATTACTGGAATATTAGAAAAAAATCCAATCTCTTTACCTACTTTTACTCACATCCTTTCTTTTCTCTCTCTCTCTCTAGTTCCACTATGTTCTTTCACCTTTGTTTTCTTGTAATTTAAAACACATCTTTGAATCTTGAGGGTTGTTTTTTTTAAATTAGTCTTACTTCTACAATACCTGGCCCTTCATTCTTTAGGGAACTGATTAAAAACAGTGTATTAAATTGACTTTTGTCTCATATAAATTTGTGGCAAATGTTCCTTTGTAAACTTTTGAAAGAGGAGTCTTTTAATTCTGAAATGAAAGAGGATAGATCAAAACCTGTTTGTTGCCTTTTCCTAGTAGAGTTCCTATTTCCAAGAAGTGTCATAAAAAGCAAACTTCAAGTTTCCTTTTAAAAAAACTTCAAGATACATTTTAAAAAAGGAGCCTAATAGTGCAAGGAACAAGATATGGGTTTCACATAATTTTACCACCGGTTCTCTGCGCATAGAAAATGTGATCGTGCACGAATGCTCGCATGCTTTCTGCGGATGCATGCAGCCTTCGCATGTGCTTTGCTCGTGCATGGCTTTCATGCATGTGCGCGACTTAGAAAATGTGACTAAATAGGATGGCATAACACCGGGTCGCTTGAACCAGTCCGAAACGGCTGAATACCACCACTGCAAGGAATATAAGCAGCATCCAAGATAAGAAAATTCTTCCCCAAAGGGAGACCTTGTTCCAGTGAAAGTGAAAGTGTTGGTCATTTCCAGTAAAATAAATACATAAATAAGGAGCAACAAACTAAACCTCAGCATAAGAATGCCTTCTTAAAGCATCACTGGAGTTTATTCCCTTCCCACTCCCAAATGGCTGAAGAATGTCCTGAAATACTTCCAAATATTTTTTAAAAAATTTCTGGGAAAACACTCATCATTGACTGCTTAAGAGAAGTATTCCCCCCCTGCCCCCTATTACTTCAAAACAGAATAGAGGTTTTTCATAGGAATAAGGGGTTTCAGAAACCAAGATTTAAGAAAAAACCTGATGTATAATTTTTTAGTATGTTGCAACAGAGACCAAATATTACAAAAATTGTTAAGAAAGAAGTAAAGGAATTCATTTTTCTCAGTTTTTTGAAACCTGCCAAGATAAGCAGAAAGAACCTCCATGTGCCAAACTTACAATCAGCTTTACAGTAAATGAACTAGTGGCATGTCAAAGAAGTATCAACGACAGAACACTAACAAAGTCAAGTGGGCACAAAATACTTCATTGTACATTGAAAGTACAATGGCTCCCTACAACTCTCACACCTGGCTGCAGCAGTGACTGGAACTCTACCTTATTTGTCAAAGAATCATCTTTCCACAAAAACTAAATGAAAACCACTTGTGGGTTTCACAAGACATAAAGGATGTTAAAATAATTTCCATGTTATTCCATCTATTTTCTATATTGTGAATCTTGTTATCCTAGTCAGTTTACTTTCACTATAGTGGGTATTCTGCTTATAGCATATTCACATCAGTATTTCAGGCAGGGGTGGGTTCTGGCTTCTGCTACTGCCGGTTTTCTGCAGAAGCAAAAAACAAGATGGCGGTGCTGATAGAACTGGTTCAGGGGCGTGGCAGGCCAAGTTACTACCTACTCGGCCGAACTGGGCTGAACCAGTAGGAACCCACCTCTGATTTCAGTATGTAGTACAAACAGAGTATATATGGCATTTGCATATCTACACATAAAGCAAAAACCCAGAAGATTCACTGTGAATTTATTTAAATCTCCTTCAGATGAAGGCTGGGTAAACTGTTCCCAGTCATCTCTCAGTGCTTGTGCACACACAGCCATTTCAGTTTGAGTATATAGGGATGGCTCTGAACAATTGCAGGAGCCTGGGAAAACACATAGATGCTTTAAAGCTTCAAAAGGAAGTGTATCATGCACTCATATTTTACAAAGCATCTTTTCTGAAGTATCTCCACAACACAAGGAGCATGTGCATGTGCAAAACAATGACAGGTTGCTAACTTCTTTGCCACAGTTTTGCCTGCCCTTTGTTGTGTTCTTTAACTGTGTGCTAAGTAGTGCTTAGTGACATGTGTGTGCCATATTTTGCTAAAACAGCAAACAAAACGAAACTATACAAATTCAATAACACAGTCCAATACTGCCTGAAGAAATTTATATTTTACTCTTTCCTTTCATGATGTATGTGATCAAAATCTGGGAGAAAGGCTTTTGTTGGGATTAATCCATAAACTATTCCTTTGATTTCCCATTTGCTCAAAACATGTAATATATATTAATGTATAAGTGGAAAAGAGCCACATTTTAAAGTTGAGAATAATGGTACTAAAAACTATACATACTGCTGAAAAACCAAGATCAGAGAGGATAAAACCCGTTATCTTTCAGACTTATCCAAGGAAATTAATGGAATAAAGAAGCAAAAGCATTAGGCACCAGCTGTTAAGGCCAAAACATATGAAATCTTTTACCAACTCATTTCCATTAACTCAAACAACAAATTAAAAGAAAATACAATTTCTATAGAAATAACGAAGAGAAAAGCATTGTAATGGATACACTTGGGTAGCTACAAAACTGAACTGAATGCTTCTGCCTGATAAGATCTGGAAGGGAAGGCTTGCCACAGGAACTGATCTTAAAGGAACACTGTCATCAGGGGACTAAAGAAAGGGACCTTCTCTGCTCCAGTCCTTCCCCACCCAAAGCAGCATATCCTAAGATATCACAATAGTTCTAACCTTGCTAGGATTCCAAAAGTCCATGAAGGCTTGGCCCTTCTGAAAGACTTTTGGGGATGGGATGGGGATGAGATTTCTAACCATCTTGAGATATGGTCCCTATGACATTATATACTGGTTTTAGTTCCAGGGGTGAAATCCACTTACCTTTGCTACCATTTCGGTAGCAATGTGACCGTGTGCATATTCACACTAACTTCGCCCTCTGCGCATGCACAAAGCATCAAAATGATGTCCGGGTGGGTGGGTGGAGTCTGCTACCGAGCACACCTGGCAAGCGAGTAAGCGAACAGCAAGGAGCAAGGAATCCGCTGTGCCATGCAGTTTAGATTAGCTAGAAAGCAGGAAATCCTGAGATTTCCATTTTTTTCCTACCAGTTCTTTGCTATCGGTTTGGGCGAACTGGTCCGAATCAATAGCATTTCACCCCTGGTTAGTTCTGTATTTATTAGGTTTAAATTGGATTACACTATGGATTATAAACAACAGAATAGATTAAGTTTGGAATGTCACATAAATTTCAGAAAGTAAGGTAAGGTTTGGAATACTGGTTAAAAGCACTGGGCTAGAAACCAGGGATTGCAAATGCTGTCTTAAGACATAAACCCGGCTGGGTAACTTTGGATCAGGTGTTCTCTCTCTCAGCCCCGGGAAGAAGGCAATGGCAAACTATTTCCCAAAAATGTCACCAAGAAAACACTTACAACCACAATTGAACCCATAATTTTTGTTGTTAAGTGAGACAAAATACGGCAAAGTGAGTTTTGCTGTATTTTACAAACTTTCTTGCCCAGTTGTTGTGAATCAATGCAACTGATAAAATTAGTAACTGGATTGTTAAGTGAATCTGGCTTCCCCATTGACTTTGCTGGTCAGAAGGATGCAAAAAGGGAATCGTATCACCCTGGAACACAGCAACAGCCATAAGTATGAGTCACTTGCCAAGCGTCTGAAATTGGATCAAGTGACCATGGGGATACTGGAAAGTTTGTAATGTGAAAAACGGCCGTAAGTCCTTTTTTAAGTGCCATTGTAACTTTGAATGGTCACTAAATGAACTGTCATAAGTTGAGGACTATCTGTATAGAAAAACACTGCAATGGTAATTATTGACAATGATTTCCACAAAGTTTACATTTTTAATAAGGATGGTGCAGCAGATGTTTCTTCTATACCTGTGTTGTGCTGGTGTGAGTCAGCAAACAGAGAGAAGAAAGGGAGAAGCAGCTCAATTCTACCCTTGAAGTCCAGGTATGCTATCACAAAGGCCAGTGAACTGACCTGATTACTAGCCATCATTGTCGTGGGGCAGAGGCAGTCAGCATTCCCACTGGTCTACCCTTATATATTGATTTTGAGGACTATAACTTCTAGTCTACCCAAAAATGGAAACAGAGAAGAGAAAAAACCAGGGGAGAAATGAGGAAAAAAAAGAGAAATAGAAAGACTATTGTAGAAGGGAATGCTTGTAGAGAAATGTTGAACAGTAGAGTTAATGTGAGTGTGTGAAGCAGGGATTGGTTCCTGCTCAGAGAGGAAAAATAAAAATAAATGGTTGGCTTCCCTGGAAAAGGAGAAGCAAAATCCCAGCAAGGTCATCTTTATCAAGGCCCAAGACCAGAGAGAGGGAGACAGCTAGTATGGAAAGAGGGTAATACTCTTTGGGAAACGTTTGGGTAGAAGACTTCCAAGAGAGGGTTTTTTTTCCTCCCCAACGAAGGAAAACATAGACAATGATTGGCTTAATGCCATGATGGTGAACCTATGGCACGTGGGCCAGAGGGGGCACAGAGTGCCCTCTCTGTGGGCACGCGAGTCGCCGCCCCAGTTCAGCTCCGCTGCACATGTGCACGCACCTCCTA